AGGTAACACACTTTGATACAGTATTCAGGATTTTGCAGAGAGGTTACATTTGTAGCTTTTTGTTCTAAAATCCTTTTTGTATATAATTTTAATTGCATTCAAATCTCTCACTTCAGGAAAGTGTTTTTCTTACTGTCTGGGTTTTAGTTCCTCACTCAGAAGCATATTCAAAGAAGTCAGATTGGTACTTTGAGTGGATTGGTACTCTGGTGCTTCTGGTTGTTCCCAGTACCTGTGACAGGAAATATCCATTGTACCTTTTAATAACTGAGGTCCAGCTTTCCTGTGCTCACATGAGTTCCTCACCCTAAAGTGATTTTTAAATGCTTCTAAAAAACCTGCATCGCTGTGCTAGCTCCATTTATCCCAGAATCACTTTCCTGCCAAAACTCTGTGAGGACAGAGTCTTTAGAGGTAATGAGAGCCAGGCTACTGAGTCATTATTGAAGATAATAGAATATAATCAATACTTCATCTATTTTGAAGTTCTCTCTTAAAACAGCAATGTTAACAAATGCTTCAGTAGAAGTTTTGGTCCCTTACAGCCTATACAGTTGTTGATGTCTGAAGAGATTTATGCATCTTACACTGAATGAATGAAGATCTTTCAGATTAATACTTTGGACCTTGAGCTTGGTTTATTTCATTCTGGGTTCTGTACCAAAAAGGTACTTCTTTAGCAGGAAGAAGAGAAAAAATAGGGAAGTGCTGTATTAGGTTGTTATTGGGAGAAATGGGAGAAATGTGTGTCACTGACATCTGAACAAGGAAAGAGGCTGAGGGGCACCTCTGAGTGATTGATAGTGTTAATAACAAAGGAGGAGGATAATTTGAACCAGTGAAGCAGAAGACAGGCAGTTCCTTCTGTCAACATCGGTTCGTTTTAATCTTAATGTAGCTAACCTCTTGTCATGTTTAGGTAGACAGTGTCTCAAATTCTTTGTGCACTGGTGTAACTAGCCGAGATCATTCTGTCTCTCTCCTTCTACCAATTAAAGTTCATTGACACCAAAACCACAGACCTGGTCTTCCCTTGAATTTTTATATCAAGCTAGCCAAAACCCATGTCTTCTAGGTGAAGACCCATCACTTTAACCATGAAATAAATGCAGGGGAGTATCTCATGCAGCAGTTTGTTGTGTTGCAAAAAAAAAAAATATCTGCATTTAAGAGGTGAACTCCGTGGAGAACTTTTAGATTTCTCCATGTATTTCTCTCTCTGATACCGAAGATCACTTTTGTTAACCTTTTCTATTTCAGATGTATTTTGATAATTGAGGCAAGGCAGTGCTACCAGCTTGGCTTGAAACATTTCTTTTTATATGATACGAGCTGTTCATGATGCAATTTTGTCACTGACTCCAAAGTCTCCTCCCATTCTGTCTCTTCCAGCCTTGTACCATAAATAGAAACCTATTCCTTGCCCATCCCAACTTCTTGGCTTGGAGCTGTATTTCTTGGCTTTATTCGGTGGGTTGTTTACAATACTTAAACCTTGCACTGCTCTGTGGGAGGCCGAAAGACTGACTGTGGATCTTGTGTTGAGCTCAAGCAAACCACGTTATTAAGAGTCTGGTTGCTTGCAGGAGAGGAACACCTAGGAATGGCATTTAGGTTGCCTGCATTTCACCAAAGCCATATGTGAGTTGTCTGAACCCTTTTAAACTGGTGTTTTTCATGGCCACATGTATGTCAGCAGAAAGACTAGGTGGTCCATTTAGGTAAGGGCTGAAGTCTGTTGTGTAGGGTAAAGAAAGTTCATAGGTCTGCTGCTATGCTACCACATTATTAGGCAACAGTAACTTGGCCTGTTCAGCATTGGTTTGCTTTTTAGTATGTAGTTTGCCTTGAGTATTTTTGGTTAGTAGGAAACGCTGAGACTTGGCTTCAGAAACAAAGCTACTGTAGAACTTGATACTGTTCCAATCATGTCAGCAAAAAATAGGAAACCCACTTGCTGCTGCGTTATCAATTTTGTTTCCTCATATTCATTAAGGCAGAAATCCTCCCACTAACAGGCTGGTTAAAGATCTTGGAGTCTAGTGATGTAAAGCGATGTACCTTTTGACGATGTAGTGGAAAATACCAGTTATGCTAGCAGTTGTTAGTTACTCAATGGTCTACTTTCTATCTTCTCACTTGACCAATGCCTATTCTTTGGTAGTCCTAAAAGCAAGCATATAAAATGAGTCTGTGTGTAAAATAGCATCATGGACATTTACATTGGTATTTAGTTTGAAAACTCACAGTGAAAATAAAGTGAAAGATGTGGTATATGCAGGGATCTTGGTGGCCTTGTATTCAAGCATCCCTTTGTAAAAGAGAGGCATGTGAGAAGACAGAAGATAGAACACCATGTGTGTATATATATACACACACACACACACTCTCTGTGGTTTTTGATGTAAAATGCTAAGTTATCAGATTAAGACTGTGTGCAATAACCTGTATTTACCCTATAACCCTTTCTTTGTCTTCCTTCCATTGACAAACCAGTCACTTTGGCCTACTGCCAACACCTCCAAATCTTTTTTAGAGCTGTTCTGCTATTTACACGTTCTTTTGTTTAAGAGACATTGACAGTTGGTTCATAAATTCAGAGTACAGCAAATTTTTCTTTTAGAAGCTCCCTGAACTATACATTTCAAAGTAGTGTAGTCAGCAAGATTTCCTTATATTCAACTTGTTGCCACTGCTGGAAGAACTAGAGAAATGCTTCTGAATGGATGATCCAAGTTGTACAGGAAGGGTAACCCACTCTCAGGAAACAGTTCTGAAGGACACCACAGGGAATAGTCTGAAGAGCTGGGAAGAGCCGCTGTGCCTGAAAGGTGGATTCTTCCACCGAGGAAGTTGAGCATACCAGAATTAAGTTTTTATATTGTGCGCTTACTGTGAAGGGAATAGGAACAGGATGCAGATGTGGTGGATGCAGATGTCAAGGTGATGGTCTACAGTGTAAAATAACTGTCTAGGAGTATCAGTTGTAAAGGAAATAACGCTCATCTAGAAGGTAGAAAGATGCCTGATTTTATTCTGCCTGGGTTCATTTGACAGGACCTTATGAACAGATAGATACATGCTGTGTAGGGACACCCCATCTCCTTCCCACTGAGCAACATCTTCAGGAGGGTTCAGGGACAGAAGTGCCCTGTTACAAGAAGCTCACAGCCAAAATGTTACTCGCCCATAATGCCAGTGCTGGCCACTGCTTCATTCACATCAGGAGCTTGTTAGGAGACCAGACAGCCATTCAGCTTTGGCTAAGGATACTTTTCTGACAGAGGCTAAAATTGAGATGTACAGATATATTTGCAAGTTACATTATTAATCCAACCTAACTTTTCTGCTAATCCCTCTTTGTTCCAGAGGTACCAATTACTGATCTGTTATATTTTAAAAGTAAATTGGTTATTAACTTTCTTAACTATTGCAGCAAAGACTAATGTAGTGACAAATCCATATATAGCTTGCCCTTTCCTGGTACCATTTCAGACCCACCTGAAAAGCTTGTTTGTCACAACACTCATCCACATGTTTCTGAGGTTACAAATTATGCTTATTCTTTCTGTATTAATAGATACACAAAAGTTTGTACAAATACCAATGTAATTAAGAGTACTCAGAGCACGTAAGAGAGGGGAGAAAACAAGGGGAAAAGAGATAAAGCCTAGGAGATTGTAAGTAAAGGTATCTCAACTACTGAGTAGCATGCTACAGGATTCACTAGGCTTGGTTTTGCAGGAGGAGGAAAGGTCACCCATTTGTCAGAACTTTAGGAAGACCACAGTATGCAGGTATCCTGAGGTGGGTTTTTTTGGTTATTTTTTCCACATACATTAGGTGCGGGTAGCAGGGGAAATAATTCATGCCACAGGCCATATGGGGAAAAGCAACTCATCACCACAGCATATCCACAGTTTTATATAGTGTTTTTCCACATCCACAACCTTACAAAACACAAACATTTGGAATAAGCCAGGTTGCTCATTTCTTACCTTTAGCCTGATGAGAGTCCTCGCCAGGTGGTGCAGCTGCTTTTCTCACAGAACAGTGGAGCTCATGGATTATAGAAATGATGCTTTGTTTTCTTGGTGAGCTGCAACAGCTCTTCTCCCCCTAAAAATGGCCAAACTATTTACTTCCCTTTCCCTGCTCCCTTTTATACCCCTCTGCAGGCCCACCACCCTCCCAGGTGTGAGACTGCCATGGTGATGGCTTGTTCTTTAACCCTTCCTTGTCCATGTGTTAGGAGGAGCCTGTCCTGCTACAAACCACACAGCCTTTGCTAGAAAACTAGGGCTTTTAAAGAATTCATCCAACAAATCTTACGTTTTTGAGAGGTAATTTGATGGTGCTCTTTCGGAGAACTGTCCTGAGTTTTACTTAATCAGCAAATATGCAACTCGGGCTGGGCATACTGTACTGCCCTTGCTTTCTGTTTCTTTCTGAAATCCTGAAATGTTCAAGAGCATTTACTTACTCAGTGCTTGTACATCTCTTAGATGTGTATTTTCACTAACATCGTTTCCTGTTGATTAATGTAAATAGTGCTCCAGCAACAGTATATGGAGTGGAAAAATGAATCAATCTGGGCGGTCCCCTTAATGGGTGATCTGTTCTGTAATTTGTACAAAAGAATTTCTCCAAGGAAACTGTTTGCTTTCTTCCCAAACACTTTGTTGCCTAATTCTTAGCAGAACAAAACTCTGTCTTTATAGCTCATCTCAAAGTTGTTTCAACTTGCAGTCCAGTCCCCACATCCTCTGTTTGTTCAGCATTCCCTGGGAAGCTCCACCCTCACTTCCAGCTAATAACCACGCTAACCCGCAGCTTGATTTTCCCAGTTTCTCCTTCGCCCGCTTGGCAGCACTTGCTTTATCGTTGGCCACCAGCCTTGCGAGCAGAGATCGTCCGCACGTGGTGGCGTTTGTGCTGGCAGTGGCAGCCCAGGACTTCTCGTGTCAAGCAGCCTCTTCTGCTTTGTGGTGATGCACAGCATGATTGTGGGGACGGTCCTCTTCCAGTCTAGCAGCTATGGCAAAGAGGGCAAGCTGCTCTGCTGCCTTGGCGAGGAAACCTCTGAGCCTGGCGTGAGTTTCACAGGTATGATGCTCAGGGGTGTGATGTATTTCTCCAAGTGTTTCAAGGAGGATGCGGGTCCTTTCAAGTCTATCTTTGTCCTGTAGTACAGAACCAGCCACGGGCAGGACTGAGATTGCCTGATTTTATCTGTGTTTTAGGATTATTGAAATACTTCATTTTTATGAGCAGTTACACAGTATTTCAGAAATAGAGACCACTTCAGCACTTGATGTGACTCTGAAATTTAAGATTTAGTGTATGCTACCTCCTGCTCTTAGACTGAAGAGGTTGGTAATTGCAGTCTTGGCAGCACAGGGTGGGAGACAAAACACCCCTTACGTGTTGGCTGAATAGGAAAAGCATTCATATCCGGAGAGAAGCAAATTGTATTGTGGGAATAAAGAAAAGGAAGGAGATGAATGAAGCATAACCTCTTCACATGACCATGTGTTACTCGTACATTAAATGATGATGCAAGTCTTCCATTGTATAGGAAATGAAATGGTAATATATGATTTACGGTTAACCTTTAAAAGGAGCTGATATAAACCAGAACTTCCCAGCTCATTTCCTTACTCTTGGTGTGAATGGAGCTTGCAGACTATTCAGCTGGAGGGGTATAATTTGTGATTATGCTTTGGTTATCTTAGTTTCCTTAATGAGGTCTATGCGATTATCATGTTTCGCTGACCTTCCATATCCTTACATATTGGACGGTATAGATCCCACACCATATTGCGCAGCATAGGTTATTATGTAATAATAACCTGCAATAGGCACTTCTATATCCTGGTAAATTCCCGTTTAGTAGATACTGGGTAACCTTTACAGTTACTTAAGCATCCAAGTCACTTTAAAAATGGAAGTGAAGGAAGTTAGTGAGACATGAACGCTTAAAAGCATTTGATTTTTAGGTAATGTGATTTTTAGGTAAGCACTGTAGCTAAGTGATTGAAGCTCCTCATCAAACATTAACTTCTGCTGGCTTTTTTTGTACGTAAAGTGGGTGTTAAGAACATGTGCCAGCCTCCCAGGCATTCCCAAGGAAGTGGTAGTAGTCCCACATCTGCTCTGAATCCTTGCTGGCAATCCAGCACAGCACCACAAATGGTTTCATGTGGGCAGAGCTGCTCAGCACTAAGCAGCAGGTGGCATTTCTGCTGGTTTTGCCTTGGCTAAAGTGCCCGCTGCTGGGCTCAGCGTGGGTAGGCTTAGCTGGTCATGGGATTTGCTGCAGCAGATCTGAAGCTGAGCTGATACTAGGCTGCTTCAGGCTTACCCATCAAGTGCATGGTGAAGTGCTTAGCTCTGTGCTGGCTCTTAAGTAAGGGTTGGATGCTCAGTTCATGAGCTTTTCTGGCTTGAAAAGGAAACTTAAAGTATGCTTCGATTTAGAACAAACGCATATATTTTTGTTTAAAGCCTTTCACATTTCATCAGATACATAATTGAGAGTAAGAACACCATTAAGGTATTTTGGAACTGAATGATCAGATATTTTTTGGAAGCATTGCCTACTTTTGTGTTTGGTCCTTAGCAGAAATGCGTTAAGTCAGATTTCTTGTATAGCACATTTGCTGAGTGACTTTGCTTAAGGCACTGAAACGCTGTCTCTCTAACACAAGCCACTGTAGGAGTATAAAGAGTGGATTATGTAATTAAATATGTATTTTTACTCCATAAAGAGAGCTGGATTTAGGAAGCGGTCTTCTTTCCTGGTGCTTAACAACTGGACATGCATATGCACACACCCAGCCCTAAAAAATAACAGTGGGATGTTGGCAGCCATGCTATAATGTAGGTAGCTGAGCAGACATTGGGATTTCCTCTTTTTTTCCATGATACACCAAGTTCTGGTAGTTAGTTATTAGCATATTGTAAAACTTAGTTTATTGTTTAGTTATATATGGGTTAGTATATTGTAAAACTAATTGCAGTTGATGGTTAGGAACAAGAAGTGTATGTAAGTATTGTATCTGCAGATAATGAAATCAAAGAAGTGACAATTCGGTAGCTTAATCTCTAGTCACTTCTGTTCGTGCTAGGAAAACCTTGATAGGGTGCTACTTTGGCAAGGCTCAGGAGGTGGGTTATTAAGTAACTGCAAGATGAGCAGGCTATGCAAGCAGTATAACTCTGAATGATTACCAGAAATGCAATCAAAACCCACTTAGCTACACGTTTAAAAACAGAACAGACCAGACCTCAACCATTTACTTTCTCACGTACCTACAAAAAACTCCATGTAGGTGCCGGGAACCCCCCTACGTCCTCGTTTTCCAGGCCTGAGCTCTGTCCTGTGACACAGGTTTGGCATATGCTTGCCTATTACTTGGCACAGGCCTCTTCCTGTTTTGTGTCTCGCTGACTTCCCAGTTTTCCCGTCCTGTATTGCATTTGAGCTCTTTGTTCTCTTTTTAAGTGCCTTACAGACTAGCTCTCGCTCACCAATGTAAATCTTGTGGGAGTGCAGGGAGGGGGGTATAACATACACAAATTCTCTGTTAGTGGTCTGCTTAAAAACATCCTGAGCCTGACTTCTCAGCACCAGCCCCTCAAAAATGGGCCAAAGCAATGACCGTAAAGTGAAGAAACATCCAACTTTTTAAAGAGGTTTTTTTAATGTTTAGTGCGTTTAATTAAATCTTTTTACAGTGAATTTCCATAAGTTCAAAAAGAGAATTTGGAAAGATATACTGGGATAGGAACTTACGTCAGTTGTGCCATCAGAGAAAATATTTATATCTTTACACCTTCATATTTTTTTGCCCCCTTGAGCAGCCCACATGTATGAAACTACATCATCGCTCTTTCTCTTGTCTTGATATTGAAATTTATTCTGCTGCGTGTTCCTGGAAAACATCTCTATGGGTTAGAAAGCCAGTGATGGCCTTGGCATAGCACTACCATGAAGTGTTCAGACAGTTTTGCTTTTTACTACCGTTCTTTCCAAAACCCTGAGTATTTAGATGGCTTTCATTATCACAGGAACTGCAGGGACTTTTTTCTTTTGTCTATAAAACTGGTCTGATTCTTCCCCCACTCCCTTGTACTATCAGGTTTGCATCAGTTTTCCTTTGAGACAGCAAAACAGAACTGCCTGGGTATTCAGAAACACTGCTGCTAAATACCTAGCATCACCCTTGCTACTTTCTGTCCCTGTCAGTTTTCCACCTCTTCTTTACACAGCC